AGAGAGAGAGAGAGAGAGAGAGAGAGAGAGAGAGATTGGGAATAAGTAGGGAAATAAGTGGTAAGATAAAATTTATAAAGATCAGTTAACAAATGTTTAAGTTCACACATTAAGCCTTAATGATTACGGTGATAATAGTTGTTACCTTATAATATATAAAAGCGCTTAAGAGAGTATTATTTCGTTTATTTAATAATTATTTTATTATTACAATTAATTATTTAGCCAATAAATTTAGGTTAGATAGTTAATTTTCAATAAATACTCTTGGTTGTTTTATATTTAGTAAACAATGTGTACACAAATACACCAATTGGTGTACATTTCGTGTCTAATAGGCGCCTGTTTTGCCGGCGAATACCTATCGCTAAACGGCAACCAATGGACAACTTATTGTCAAAACAAATGTAAGTAAAATAAATACTTAACAATTGAATATTACAAACACTTTATCACATAATTACAATCATATTTAGCCATCAAATCGTCGGCTACAGTGCCGGGCAGTATATACACAGACCTGCGGGCCAGTGGCCACTTGGCCGAGGAGTTGCTCAGCGGTTATAACGATGTCAATTACCGGTGGGTTTCGTGGGACAACTGGACGTATGAGCGCACGTTTGACGGTATGTATTGATTGATATGCACTGCTATTACTAGTGTTATAATAATCATTTCCCCCACTACTAAATGGTAGTCCCGGCGGCACTGCTTACCAAACAAGTGGTCAATTTGGTGGCCGAAGGGGTGGACACAGTGTCCAAGATATACGTAAACGACCAGTTGGTCGGCGAGACAGTCAACCAATACGTGCGGTACGCGTTTGACGTGAAGAAAGTGGTCAAAAGTGGTCAAAACACAATCCGAGTGGCCTTCGAGTCGGCGCTAACCTACTCGCGCCGGCAGCACCAATGGCATCATGACAAATACCACTACGATATGATACCCCGTATGTTATCGCACCAGACCTTAGATTTTTTACATTAATGTTATAATTTGTTTTTGTGTTTTATGACAACAACAGAATGTTTCCCTAAGGAATACCGCGGCGAGTGTCACAACCAGATGATCCGCAAAATGCCCGCATCGTTCAGTTGGGATTGGGTACGCATACCTGTCCATCACATACCTGTCCCTCTTTACCCACTCATACAACTGTACCCTTAATTTTATATGTATTTTAATCTCTCCCCCAAAAGGGACCGGCATTTCCCACACAAGGCATATGGAAACCTATCGGTCTGGAGGCGTACGACCGGTCAGTGGTGCGCGACATCACCGTCGAGACCACACCCGTCAAAGACTCGCCGACCAAATGGCAGCTCAACACCGGTGTGTTCATCGAGTCGGCCGCCGCCGTAACCGTCAAACTGACCGTACATCTGGACGATCGGGAACTGGTCTCTGGCCAGGAGTACGCGCTAACGCCGGGCCCGGACGGCACCAGCAAGGTGAAACTAATCATCCCGGTGGACAATGTGGAAAAGTGGTGGCCTAACGGTGTGGCAGCCGCTACTCAGCGACTGTACGCGCTTAAAGTGACCGCCGTTTTCCCGGACTCGCCCGGCGAAGTGTCTGAACTGAGCCGACGTATCGGTTTCCGTACGATCGAAGTGATACAGACGCCGGTGAAGCCAATTGGGCTCACGTTTTACTTCCAGGTGAACGGACAGCCATTCTATGCCAAAGGGTCCAATTGGATACCCGCCGACAACCTCCAGGAGCGCATCACTCGGGAGTACTTGCGTGGGCTGATGCAGTCGGCCAGGGATGCCAACATGAATATGATGCGCGTCTGGGGCGGCGGTGTCTACGAGTCGGACTACCTGTACGAGTTGGCCGACGAGTTCGGTATTATGATTTGGCAGGACATGATGTTCGCCTGCAGTCTATACCCCACCGATCCGGCCTTCTTGGCCACCGTTGACCAGGAGGTGACCCAACAGATGCGTCGACTGCAACACCACCCGTCTATCGCCATATGGGCCGGTATGTGAAGCACTCGATTTCAAATGTTATCATGTTTGTTTTAATGAGCGCCGGTATGTTTGTGACCATAGGTAACAACGAGAACGAGGGTTTTGTGCGATTGGGCAACAAGAATGAGACGGCTATACATAAAGCCGATTACATCGAGCTCTACATCACTCACATCCGGCGCCTGATTCTGGACCACGACATGAGCCGCACGTTTGTGGGCTCGAGTCCGTCGAATGGCGATGAAGAGGTTCAGGAGGATTGGGTGTCCGGCCATTTGGCCGACACCCGTTACGGCGATGTCCACTACTATACGTATGACAAACCCCTGTGGAATTGGCGCCAATACCCGAGCGGCAAGTTTGCCTCCGAATACGGTTACATATCCTACCCGTCCGTCGAGACACTGTTGACCGTATTGAACGAGACTGACCTGACGTTCCCGATCGGAGCGGCGCTGGAGCACCGGCAGCACCATCCGGGCGGCACCAAATCCATCGAGAAGGCAATTGGTAAGTTTTTTGATGCTTTTTAAAGTAATTATCTAGTTTGTGTCTAATTGTGTAATATGCAATTTGTTTCATACTGTGTCAATATAAAGTGTGTTTACATACTGTGTTTGTTTCAAATGAATAAAACCTTATTTTTGAGAGGTTTAAACATGGTCTATATTGAAATACTTTTTAACAGTGTTATTATGTATTTTTATCTCATCTAGCCACTTATTTCAAACTGCCCTCGAAGGGCGGTGTCGATCGGTTCGCCGATTTGGTGTACTTATCACAAGTAATACAAGCGATGGCTATGAAAGTGGAGACAGAGTTTTACCGCCGCAACCGA